GCAGTGCACGGGGGGAGGCCGCTTCCCACCGGCCCCTGCCCAGCCGGCTCGGGCCAAGCCAGTGGTTTTTAAAGCCAAATAGTGGCTTTCCGCCGCTCCACGAGGGAAGGCAACAGCATCGCTACTGTCTCGTCTGTCTGCCTTCTGTTCTTCGCTTTGCCACGACCCTCCCCGAGTCGAACTTTGCGAAATTATCAGCAGTAACTCACAATACTGGTAAGTAAGCACTAACTCACAATACTCTCAAAGCCTTTGGTCAAATAAAGGTCCCATTGCAGTGACATGCTCCTGCTAATGTGTGAGTAAGAGCTGAATTAAAATGGCCCTGGCTTGTTTTCTCTAAATTAGTTTTTAAATGATTGATGTTGAATCTGACTTTACCGAAGGCAATGATGAACTTTGCAGTAGTGATAAAAATATAGTTCATCAACACACAATGGGGTACTTTATTTCTCTCCTTTGCAAATAGGCTTGGATAAGTTGCCACATGAATTTCTAAGACTAGCGTGTAAACTGTGGGTGTTTGAGGCTGTGTGAAATCAACTAAAGAGGCATTAAGTGTTCTCTGGAAGAGGGAAGTTAGTTCCTTATTGTCTTCTCCAGATAGGGCGATTCTACTTTCTCTGTCAAAAGCCAACATAAAATAAGACTCAAATCTCAAAATCTAACAAAATAAGCTATGCAATGTCAGAATAACGTTAACCATAAATTATTAATAAACTGTTAATAATTGCTTACCAAGCATCTCTAACACTGCGAGAAAGTGCATTCGGACACATCTCAGTTAGGACTTGGCAGTTCTAGAAGACCCAAGAAATGCTGTGCTCTGACCAAAGCCTTCACTGGTAAGCAACACGTTATGCGCATAATCTGATTGATTTTTTTTTTTTTTTTCCTTCGAAACGATGCAAACTTTGGGAGAGTTTTACTCAGAATTGAAGCCTCAGTTTTAGAGTGGCATAATCAGGCTGTCAGCCCTGAAGTGGTCAGGCAGTTGGGCTGATTGTTTCAGGTCATTTCCAACGGAAATATTCTGTATCTCTTCCTAACAGTGTCATCTCTACAGTGGTAAAGCATGAAGAGAGTGTGTTCTCTGTTCATGACACTGCTTGTGACCCCCAGCCGTCCCTACTGCAGGTTCTGCAAAAAGCGCAGGAAGCTCTGTAGAAGACAAATCAGTAAGAACTAGCTGATAAAGGAAGTTTCCCCTCATAATTCTTTCAGTAAGCATGCAGGTCTTGTCTTGCCAGGCTGAGATGACTGTTCTTTATTTGTTCCTTGTTTTCATCATCCTGTAAATATGAATGCAAGGTATTTACTTCTGAACTTTGTGAGCTTTTATTATACCCAAGAGATATTACTGAATTTGGTTTATTTTTCCCTTAATGTTTGTTTGCATGTGTTTTCAACTGGCTGTTCTTCAATTTCATTAACTAAGCACATACCACGTTGGAGAAAAACCCAACAAGTTATCCTAAGTACTTTATGCAGCAAAACTGCAACCTTTGCTTGCTCTGGGTATTGAAGATACCTGTCTTCAATAAGCCTAGGAGTCACTTTTAGAGTTGAAAAATTGAATAGTTAATTAAAAAGTTTAATTAACTTTTTAAAACTTTTTTTAAAAAAATAACTTCTTAAAGACACTCTTTTCTTCAGTAACCTGATGTGAGAAGAATTTTTTCTTCACATGTGACATTATCTCATTAAGAATAAATAAATAATGTGAGTGCAGACTCAGTGGCTCTGGAAAGGTGTCCTTGCTGCTGATTTTGTAACACCTCAGACTACATAAGGAATGTCCAAGAACAAGTAACTGTGAAGCCTCCTTTCAACAAGCCTTGGCAGCCTAATCAGAATGAATAAACGGGACAAGCAGAGTTGAGGGGGCAGCAGCAAAGCCAGTAAAAGCACATACTCCCAGTGGTTCTGAAGACAGTAGGGAGTTTCTCTCCCAGTATGAATGTGAGCATGAACTCACTCCTTGCAAATGTTCTGGCCCAAGAGTATTTCCACAAGGGTGTAAGTAAGATGATAACGGTGCCTTAGCCAAGGAGGGATGAAATCGTATTCCCTGGACGGGACGGTGGGAGGGGAGCACAGAAGAGAAGGTGAAATGAGGAAGGACAGAGGGAGGTGAAAAGCAGCATGTTTTGCAAGGGTCTTGTAGGGTCTTGTATCCCCTTCAGTCTGTGGAGTGAGCTGGATTTCACATCTTTCCTAAGCAATTTTCCCAAGCAGACTACCTTAAACTGACTTTATTCCACAGGAACCTTCAACAGGACCCTAAGGAAATGCAAATTTTGCATTTCCCCTGAGATTGCAGGGAAGCCTCATGGATCTGTATGCTTCTTGAACTGGTTTGCTAGTGGTTATTTTTGCCCTCTATAAGGAAAATTATGGTTTTTAAAAGCACAGTGTCTCATAAACTGATAGCCAACTTTTGGAGCCTTCTGAGCTACATGAATTTCCAAGATGGCTATTCTAAACTAATCCTCCTCTTATCAGGTGTGTCCGCTCTTCTGCCAGCATTTACACTAAAACTTTGGGCAGGGTGCTTAGAAAGTGGGTGTAAAAGTTGAGAAGATAGAAATACTTCAGGCATATAATTACCAGCCTCTGCTGTGATCCCATGTATTGCAGCAGGGGACTTCTGTAAGAATAGACCTGTATTATGCATAATTTTATCAGTATGTGTGCATAATGCTAGGAGTATCATAAGAGAAAAGCAGACAGGTCCCACTGCTACCTGCAAGTTCTGCAGATGGTATTTTTGAGGCAGCAAGGTATAACAGACCACACACCCCCCAGCCATTCCCAAGATCTGATTGCCTAAAAGTTTGATTTATCCTTTTCTTTTTTACTGTCTATCAAATGTAGATAGTTCTGGGACCCAAAACATGACTGAGGACACAAAAAATCCTTCACAGCAGAAATTGCTGGTAAAAGGTGGTGTGCAGCAGGTGGAACTGTACCCGTCCAAAACAACAGTGACTGGGAAACATAGGTAAGAAAATATATTTAATGCATCTTTTCAGTGCTTCTAGGAAACTCTGGAAATGTTTCTTGTTCAGGGAGTAAAAACTTTGTTAGAAATATTTTATGACTATGTGGTTTGCCTGTGTCCTGGTCATTCTTCACTGGCCTCAGTTTCTTGCCCAGGTGTGTGTGCTGTGTAGCCAGCACTCTGGCAGAAACAGAAACAATGCCTCTGCCTTTAATGGAAGGGAGCTCAGTTATACTAGCAATTAATTTGTTGATATAATAGGAAAAAAGGCTGCTTCAAATGCTACACAGTTTGGGAGTCACAAAGACTCATTTTAAGGTAATGTCCAGCTTACAATGATACCACAGTATTCACAGTGCCACTAATCACTCCCAGTCTTGTGGATACCTGTAATTACTGGCTGTCACTTCTCAGCAGAACTTATGAATGAGAGAATTTGGACTGAAAAAAGCAGAAGCTGTTACAATAATTAAAGAAATTATGTCTTTCCTGGCTTTTGTTGGAATAGCAGTGACTCCCATCTTCTCATTGCTTCCCAATTTCACAGGGTAAATGCTGTCATAACATTTAGAGAAGGTTTGAGATGAACACTGAAAACAAAATGATAAATGGGCTGGGATAAGACAACCAGCTAGTACAAAGTGACAGTTGTGAAGAGCTGTATGTCATCCAACTGCACACAACTGCTACTGCAAAAAATGCCTTTGTAAGTCGGTGTCTGGGCATCCTATTCGGCTCTCCTTTCTTTCAACTCCTCTGCCTGCAACAACATGAGCTTTCCTGGAGAGCTGGGCTCTGGGCCAAGTGCATGAGCTCTTGCAGGATATGGGACAGTTATTTAAGCTGTAAATTGCTCTGTTTTCCTGATGGCAGCCCCCACTGCACCTACCCTAGAGCCATAGGCAGAGAGTCTGACTGACAGACAACAAGTTCTTTAACTGAGCCTGCACTGGTGGCCATCTAAAGGACATGAAAACATCCCATTTGTGTCTTCTGCAGAGCCATATCCAGTGCTGGGAACATGGACTGCCTTATGTTCCTGTTTATCAGATGAGCTGTCTGGAGACAGTCTGAGCACCAGCATTCCCTTCCTGACCCCGGTTGCCGTTACCCAGTTGTCATCTAGTCTGCTTGTAATTGTTATTTGACACAAATTTCTACTCTGATTGCATTTTCTCCTCTTGTACATCTTTTAAGATTACTTCTAATGATGAAACACTTAATTATATGTTAAAGTCTGAGTATCAGATAATTAAGGAGGGTCAATCTCCTCAGAACAGGGCAGTGTGGCTTCCATTCACAGAGATACATACCCTGTCTAGGCAGGACCCTCGCACCAATGAGGTGTAAATGTATGAGTAAAATAACAAGAACAGCAATTCTGCAGCCCAGCCCACTGGAGTTTGGTTGAAACTGGCCAATAATTTCACAATTTTTTGGGAGGGCAGGGGCTGACAGATGTAGGAATGGACAAGCAAATCAAGAGATTGCATAGGTCTCCTTGCATCTGTAAACCAGGCTCAAGATAAATTATCATCCCACTTACAAGGGTGCAAATGACTCTGCAACATCAATGATGCAGAGTGCTGTGTTGTAAATAACAGTATACTGACATTGCTAACTGCAGTAGAAAGTCTAGCAGGCTAACTCAGACCTTTGTTAGCTAATCCGATACCGCAGTGTTTCATCAAGTGTATTTTTTAATATCTTCAGCATTTTCTCCATTCTTTGAAAGGATATCACATGCTTTTCTCTCTGCCTTGTTGACACAGAAGTTGTTTGAAAGTTCATAAAACTTTTTAGTTCTTCCTGTGTGGTTTGTATACAGAGAGCAGTGCTCTGCTGACATACAGCAACAATGCTGCCCTGAGACAAATCGTGTGGCAAGTATAGAGAAGGACTTTGCTTCCTCTGAGCAACTAAAGCTGAGGGCTTGGTTCATTTGTCTACAGCTTTGGTCTGTTCCATTAAGTCACTATCTTCTTCTAACGATGATTTAGTTTGTACCTGACCTATGTCTAGGTAGTTCACTGAAGCAATCACTAATGTAGATGTAAAAGTGACTGCTGAGTTTAAAGATATATGGATCTGCATTTTCACCATTTTGTTTTAGACACTTGCAGCATTTCAAATCTATAAGATTTCAGTCCTGAACTCTTCTTCTAATTATCCTGAAAAATTGTAGAGAAATTAGTTGTGCAGCAGTCTGCAGAAGTAGAAATGTGTATGTGTGTGTATATGTGTGCGTGTGTGTGCATTTATTCATTGGTACCAAATTTTGTGTGAGGAGATGCCCTGAACTAATTTGTTGGAAAATCAGTAATGTCTTAATTGCTACCTACCTCTGTGTCCCTAATGGACACTTCTGAACTTGTTAATACACCCACGTTTAAGCACTCAGGACTTTTTAGTCCAAATGGAAACACCATTAGATCTTAGACATCCTTACATTTAAGAATTATAGGATAGAAAGTGGTATGAAATTGCTTTCTCAAGCCCAGATACCTATATTCATCATAAACTGACTTTGAGCTCTGGATGTTCTGAATATGGCCACTTTAATCGAATTTTTGCTGTAAGTAAGGTTGTCCTGATCAGTATTACCCTTCCCTAGGAAGGAGGAGAGGTGTACAGAGAGACTGCCTTTACCTGCTGCTGTACTGCAGAGGGACCACTGCCATTACCTGCTGCTGTATGTGCTATCACAGGTCCTCCTCTGAGGGCTGCAGGTGAGAGCAGGCTCACCTGACCACAGGGCAACAGGCGCAAACTGCCGAACCTGGAGTGAAGGAAATTATCCTGTAAAATGGCACCCATGAGTCATTATTTGCAGTTTTCCCG